ATGGCATTATCACTTGTTGTATACTTTTAATTTTGAAAGCTCTTTGGAGGTCCGCTTCCTAAAAAATCTCTGGTTGATAAGTCGTTTAGCGAGGCTGCAAAAAATTTGCATTTTTATATCTGAAAGTGTAGGTATTGGTTTTTTGTATAATTGTTTTTTTGGATTGTTGGAAAAGTAACGCATACTTCTATAATTTAGGACTGAGTCAGGGAAATATAAGGTTCGTTAAATAGTAAATATTCCTAGTACCGTGTGACACTATTGTTAACGAAAAGTTTTTGCAACTTGTCAAAGAGGTTGTTGAATGATCTTCGAATAACTTTTGATGAGCTAGAGGTAATGGTTCTATCTGCAGCTCGTGGACTTCTGTACGATATTGTCCAGAATCATCTAAATTTTCAAAAAGTGTCCGCTTGTTCAATACCCAATTTGCTCATTCATGCATACAAGGAGAAGCGCATGAAATCTTTAGCAGACATTTTGGAGATGAATCAAGAATTAGATGAAGAATTTATGACTTAAATCACGGCACCTTAATCACGAGATGACCTTAATTACGGCAACTATTTATTGTCCATGAGATGCAGATGGTTCCATTTCCCTAGCTCATCAAAAGGTATTCGAAGATCAATTTCATCAGCCACCCGTACGAACCATGTTTCTAGTGACCCGTACTTGCTTCGCACGTATGAAACATACAATCAGAGAAAACAGAATTCATCTTACAATAATCAATAATCAGTAGGACATGAATCGTTGCGATGTATAATGCGACATTATAATGCGGCATTACTATTGTAATTCATTTTAATGGATTAGGGGCATTATAAATCATTATTGCCACGTCGGAATGAAATGTTGTAGACTGAATTGAAAAGCATGTTGGCAAAATTTATTATAAAAATAGTATAACATGTAGGTACATTTCATAAAGGTAATACAAATTAAATGATTAGAGCGTGTATATTTCATTACATTATAGGTATATTACAATCATTTTTGTCATTGTTGGAAATTTTGATAGTTTGAAATTTGATAGTTGATAGTTGATAGTTTGAGAGTTGAAAATTTGGTTATTTTATTTAGTTAAGGTGATTCGATAGACGCCATATTTTGTGTCAGAATGGCATGCGACATATCCCATCAATTGGTTCCATTTTTTCATTTACTCATCATTTTTCTCCAATTTTAAGTTTCGCAATTCTGTTTTCAGGAGACTAAAGCACTCACTTATCAATTTGTATATTTATATTGAGTTAAGGGTAGAGACGTATTACTCACCGGAATTGAGGAATGGATGTGTTACAGTAAGTTCGGCATTAGGTTCCATTTCGACATCAGCGACGATCAACGCTACGATACTGGAAGCCAGTCTTCCGATATTAAATCCCTAGCGGGGAAGAAAAAAAATGCCTAGATTTCGCTAAAAATCCCTAGATCCCCAGATTTGCTCAAATATACTTAAAAAATCCCTAGATTTTGCAAAAAGCGCCATTTTTAACGAAGAATCATGATGTCATTCGATGTAGCGATTTGCAATATTTAAATCTGATTGGCTCGTTTGAATTTTGGCGCTCTCTGAAAGCAGTGCTAATCCAGACTAATAAAATGAAAGAATATTAGTTGATTTCTTATTATTAACAGGTTGAATGCAGTTGAATGTCAAGTACATCGAAGGACGCAATCGTTTTAATTTCCGGCTTATTTGCGGGGCAAATAGTGTTGCCAAAAAGGCCTACAAAATATAGATGGAAAAATGTTTTCGATTGTCGAAGCTAGAATTGAGGTTAAAAAGTTGATTTTTGGTAACTTTACCTCATCAAAAAAAAATCTCTAGATTTCCTGAAAAATCCCTAAATCCCTGGAAATTCCGGAAAATCCCTAAATCTAGGGATAAACCCTTAGACATCGGATGGCTGTTGGAAGCATTAGAGTCAACATTTGAAACGCTGCTGCAGAATTTGCCGGGAGTATAATCGAGTGTTGAAAGTCAGTAGAATTGAACAATGTAATAATTGCTTTCCGAAATAAGCGTTATAATAAAAAAACCACGAATCTGAACTGTTAATACTGGAACACACCTTCTGTAAATGTACCTTGCGAGAGATAAGTAAAAAAATAAACAGATTTTAGATTTTAGTAGATTTTTTGTTTAGTAAAACCGAACGCGAGACTGAAAATAGGGGAGACGGCGCTATGCTTGGAGTATGTCTACAGTTTTGCAGGCGCTTTGCACGATCAATTTCTTCACAAAGTTCAATGTTTCGGAAATGTACTTCCGGTGGATGAGGTAGCTTTGTACTGATCCTGTTACAATAATGAAGAACTTTTAGCACTTATGGAAAGCGGAGTGCTGTTACGCCTTTATGTCAGCCAAGCGACGACAAGTTAGAATGAGGAGCGTGTTCATAGTCGTTCCTTGAAAATTGCCTTTCCAGGAGTGCTAAAAGTTCTCCATTATTGTAACAGGATCAGTACAAAGCTACCTCATCTACCAGAAGTACATTTCCGAAACATTGAACTTTGTGAAGAAAATGATCGTGCAAAGCGCCTGCAAAACTGTAGACATACTCCAAGCATAGCGCCGTCTCCCCTATTTTTAGTCTCGCGTTCGGTTTTTGACCTGCGAATCTCGCTAAGCTCCGAAATGCGTATGCCTAATTGCTGCGTAATGCCACTGACTCATTGCTCCGGAGAGGAAAGTTTTCTTTCCATGGCAATTAGTTAGTGCCAAAGAGAAAAATATTTTCTCTCCACTGCTAAGACTATAATTGCTCCGAAAAGAAAAAATTTCTCTCCGGAGCAATGAGTCGTAGCAGCGAAGAGAAAATAGTTTTCTCCGTAGCACTAACTAATTCAGTTCGCAAATGCTGAAAACGGATCAACTCTTTTCAAAAACCGGTAGAAATAATTCCTCGACATGGCACAATTTAATGTAGGTGTGTACCTGTCTCAAAGGTTATAGCATTCCGAATGTATTTTCTGTTCTTTTATGTATTTTTTATCAGCTTATCGTTTTCCTCCTATTCAGATACACCCGAAACCGAGTTCCAACGAATCCATCGGCAAAAAGTCAAGGTTGCCCATTGTTGAAATAAAAAAAAAAGAGAAAAAAAATTGTATATTCTTGAAACTATCACATTTCCTGGCAGGGAAAATTGCATACTTATTCCAAGCTTTACAGTTAATTAAAAATTATTCCTATTTTTATAAAAAACAAAGTTGCAGGTTTGTACTTACGATAAGTCACGTGACTTTGATTTTATCTTCTTTTTAGGCTTTGAGTTCGACTGATGCGTTTCAAGATTTTCGATGAATGAATTTTCTGCTTCATTTACTGGATGCGTAATATCAGAATCATTGTTCGATATATCATTTGCAACGTTCACCCTGTGTAGAGGAAAATATAAGATCGGTTGTTTTAAAAATAAATTGGAATTCTACTACATGTATGCCGCTTGGGTTGAACAAAATTCTAAAAAGTTTTTTTTTAACTATGAGCGCAAAGTTTGACATCGACGAAAATTGGCCAAAGTGACACTCTTACATCCCTAATGAACATACTTGAAGGAATTTTTTGTCCTCCGAAAGGATCGGTTACAATAGCGCGTTGAATGCTGAAAAACCCGCATTTTTCGCCAAAATTGGCCTTCAGACCCATGTTTTGGCCAGTGGTAGAAAACAAATTACAGTTCAAGAAGACCACACAACTTCTGGTTAGTAACAAATTAAGCCACCACTAAATATTAGGTATTCAAAGTTTTAACTCCTAAAATGGTCTTATCAAACGTATAGATGTCCAAAACATTCCTCAATTTTGCATATCAACTAACACTTACATATTGAGTAAAAGCAGATTTCTTACCTCTGAATTATTCTTTGACTGCGGCGTCGACTCATTACCTGAAATGAAAATTAAAACAGCATTATATTTTCTACATTTTTTAAGTCAACTCAAAAACTAAATTTTTGAAATTCTATAAATACATTGAGGCTTTAAAATTAAAAAAGAAAAGCAAGACACTAGCGAGGAACTCTTGAACTATAGGTTAATGAGCTATAGATTGTGCATAGAAATTGCCAGTCTAAAGTTTCAAGAATGAGAAAATAATCAGCCCATGAGTGGGTCCAGAATGAGGGAGAAAGAAAAGTTGAAATAATTTTACTGGAAGAAGGGATAAATGAGGTACTCACCGAATTTCCGGCAAAAAAAATCTGGAAATTGCGGAAAATTCACATTCAACAATCCCGTGAAAAAACAGCTCACAAGTAAAAGCAAATTGCCATAGAAACTTCTTCACGAAATCACACACACAACGAAGAACGAGGCGGTACAGACGAGTCCATCCAGGACAAGTTAAAAAATTCCGATGAGCCGAGTGCCATAGGTTAAAGGCCCGTTCGCCAAAACTAATCGGAACTGTATGAATGAATTGCTCCTTTTAAAAATCAAAACAATATCGAATTGCGATATATTACACAGTTAAGATAGGGCTATGTCCTGTCGTAAGCGGCGACATACAATCGATATCATTTCAATAATCGCCCCAATGGCCACGATAGTTGTTAGACGTTTACGGTTTCCCTGGTAACCTTTGTTTGCTATCAGCTGATATCAAGTAATATAATTAGGAAGCTCCAACCCAGTAGTTAAAGCTTCCTTAACCGCGAAAACTTTAAAATTCAAATTTTCAAATTTTGAACGTAAAGTACATTTTTTCCATCACGAGATAAAAGCACAAACAAGTTTTGAATTGTTGACTGTATCACCATGATTCCAAAAATACAATACACAACATAACATTGACTAACAATAAAACAGTATGCAATAAAATAAAGTCATGACAAGGAACATAGCCGAAAATGGCGCCGATTCCCATCAACCAACGCGCGGTCTCTACAATGTAACATGCTGCATTGATACTCCCCAGCTGGGACCGTCCGGAATAGCAGCTCTAGTGCAAGCACCAGAGCCGCTAACACTTAATCTGAAACAATTATTTTTTTCTTATAGAAGGAACAAAGTAAGTCTCCGCCTTCAGACGCGTTTTGCCTGATTTCATCGCAAATGATGATGAAATTGCCAAAAAAAATTCCTGTTGGCTGGGCTAGTCAACATCCAGTTTCCGGAAGGATCCTCTCAGTTCGTCTATGTGGTTTTCATCTTTCCTTCTTAGCCGCTCGTCTGCGCAAATGGAATCTTGCTCCAGGAACCACTTTCTGTGCTTTTCGAGCAATTTTCTGGTGTGCTCTGCAAACAAATGATCGAAAATGTTTACTCTGGCTTATTCGCAGAGGTCACAAGTTAGATATATTTTCTTGAAAGCTAGGAACGTGCAGAGATATTTGTTAGGGTTTGTTTCGTATTATAGAGAGGCCGCAATTTTGCATCATCCATTGGATGAGTTTATGTTTCTCGCAGGTTAATAGTCAACTCAGGCATCTCTTGAGTTTTGAAAAATTGACAAGTTTTACATTTTTTTTATGAAGATTCTTGAGTAAATCAGGATTTTGAAATGAAATATTTATCAAAATATCAATTTTTCTCAATTTTACGAAAACTTTTTTCAAATAATTTTTACGGTCGAAATTTAAAATAATATTTATTTTTTGAGGCATTCAGAATTTTTTAATCAATAAATTGATAAATCGCTCAGCGTGGAACTTTTATCTACATAACTGGAACATTTTCTCTCATTTTCTCATTTTCTCATTTTCTCATCAGGTGAAATATCAGATTTTAGATGTAAGACAGAATATTTGTCTGTCTTTTAATAAACCCCCTGTAAAAATTAAAGATAAGAGCTGCGTTTCAAAATACCATAGGAATTCTTATAGCCGGCTAAAGAAGGCTACAGAAAATCATATAGCTGGCTGTAGAATGTAAAGAAAATCATACGGCCGGGCTATACTGAGCGATAAAAAATTATGCAGCCGGGCTTTATACTTCATCGCCTGGCTGTTGTTTTTTCGCCATCGATGATAAAAGGCTATAAGAAATTGTGCAGAAATTCGTGTGTTTTGGAAATCAGTAAGTTTGATACGGAACCACCTTAATATTTACAAAACACACGTTATATTTTCCTTAAATACATATTTTTTTTCATCAATTAAAACGAGAATGATCCATACAGGATGTGCAAACATTTCAAAATCTTGAGTTGAATAACGCTGACTCCACCAGATTAAATATTAGATCCTAACACAAAGCGGAGCGGCGACGCACTGGCACCTACAAAATTAACAGGGATACTTCACGCATTGCGCAACGCGTGAAGTATCCCTGTTAGGTTTGTAGGCGCCAATGCGCGTTTCGCGCTGGCTGCCCGCCTGCCGCACCGCAGCGTGCTACGGCGCTTGAAGCAAGTATTTCACATCAGAGGTATTGCACAGTATCATACGAAACTGAAGGCGCTCTAATATATTAGGAATGGCAGGCATCCATCAAAAGTACGGAGCTTTCCTCGCAAAATAAATCAAGATACTACGGCCCAAAAAGAGAGCAGTGGTCCAAAAACTCACTAAGTCCTATCATCCGTAATTAGTGACGTTTAGCATACACTTTATCGCCTGGCTGTTGCTTAGTCGCCATCGACTATAAGAAATTGTGTAGCCGGCTATAGAAGCTATTGGAAATCTTACAGCCGGATGTAGGTCTATGGTATTTTGGAACACATCTACTGCCAATTTTTACCAGGGACTACCTAACTTGACGCTTGACCGTTGGCCTGCAACGTGTATACACGTTGCACTGCTGTAGCCGCCTCCTCATTTGGACGTATTTCTATCGAACGGAACTATTTGCATTATGGCGTGAGCCCTGTTATGCACATATTATTATGGGTCTCAGGGCTCATGTCTTAATGCACATAGTTCTGGTTGGCAAAATACGTCTACTTGGTTGTAGCATTTAGAAGTAGTAATAATATTTGCATTGGTTACTCCTTTCTAATACCATTCTTCAGAAAATCACTGAAGTAAACCTTCCTCACACGTGTAGAAACTGGAAGACAATTGAAAATTCAAACATCAACACTTGATTTCAAGATGTACCCAACTAATGTTCTAAACGGTCTTAACCCCTAATGTTCTAAAAATATATTTTTCTCTTGCTCTTACTCTGCAAAAGACAAGGTCTCCACTCCCCCACAAAACTTACCATCATATTCAGCAAACGGTGGGCCCTTGCCGCCGAAATCGCTGCAGAGCACCTCCTCATCGACGAACTCCTTGAGGCTATCGCTCGACGCGTGGACAAATACCCTACTTGTGAATTTTTCTGGGATGATCTTCTTGATTGCTTCGACGATGGTGTTGATGTAGGTGGGAGTGTTTATCAGATGAAACGCCTTCATTCGTTCAGAGTAGGCAGCCGTGAAGATATCCGATGCCACCTAATTTGGGATGCAAAATTTGATGAAATTAGTGAATTTTACTAGATATTTTGAGTATTATAAATCAGAAGTATATACGTGGTTCCTTTTCATTAAGTAAGTTCTAGCTTTAAACCCTCTAAGATCAATTTAGACTATTTCGAATCACAAGTCGAAAGCATATTTGAAGCATCATGTGATTTCTATGTTAGCATCAATGATGACTACATCCAAAATTCTTGACGCATCTCCCGAAGTGGTCGAAAAGTGAATGGATGCATCCGTTAGCCAAAATTCATCGACCAAAGGAATTCAGTTCTTTCCTCCAGCAGAGCGTTTTCCTCCTTTGATTGCGAATCTGTCGACCTGGTTGAAAAATTCGACCAAATCCTCTCGCGATAATTCGCCAATGGGTCAGTTGCGCTGGCCATAGATTTATGTTTTGATGCTTGGTTCTTGTAGATTAGCGAGTAAAATAAAATCTGTCCAAACAGCAACTTTCTCGTACGTTCAATAATAGCCGAGATACCTCCCTTCGAAAAGTCGGGTTTTTACGTCATCCACCGCAGTAGTTACACCCTTGGATTCATCCGAGTTCCACGTTGAATAACCAATGCAAATGTGCGTTACACCGATAGCTAAGCAAAAACGCCGTATGAACATTCGAGAGTTGCCAAACTTACCCGTATACAACATGTATTTTTGAGGAAAGTTATCCCTATTTTTCCTTGGCATTCTCAGATATTTTACATCAAACTGCGTACAAAATTGTCTGAAAAATTTGAAGGAAAATATTCAAAATTTTCTTAGTAAATTCGTTTTTTTATTGTAGGCAATCTGGCAAGGTCTGAAGACTCATACGGCGCTCTTCCTTAGCACGGCACGATTGATGAAAGCGATGTGGAAGTAACCAAAGGTGTCACTACCGCGGCGAATGACGTCAAAAACCCGACTTTTCAAAGGGCGATATCTCGTTTAATATTGCACGTAAAAAGTTGCTGTTTGGACGGATCTCATTATTTCCAGCTGATCCGCAAGACTCAAGTATCAAAACAAAATTCTGTAACCAGCGCAACTGACCCATTGCGATTTATCTCTCAGCCTGTATACACTGGAAGAAAAAATGCATTGGATCTAAAGTCCAGACTCTTAAAAACATCGACAAGGAAAAATACTCTTGATTCAATCAGATTTAAGCTTAAATCAAGAACCAAGCCTTTTAATTTGAGCGGATTTCCTTTGGATTTAAGCAAAAATCTGATTGAATCAAGAGTATTTTCTCTTGGATCAGATCAGTGGATCTAGAGTCCAGACTCTTAAAAACATCGACAAGAAAAAATACTCTTGATTCAATAAGATTTAAGCTTAAATCAAGAACAAAGCCTCTTAATCTGAGCGGATTTCCTTTTGATTGAAGCAAAAATCTTATTGAATCAAGAGTATTTTTTCTTGTCAATGTTTTCAAGAGTCTGGACTCTAGATCCAATGTTTTTTTTTTTTTTTTTTTTTTTTTTTTTTTTTTTTTTTTTTTTTTTTTNTTTTTTTTTCCAGTGCTGTATACGGTCACCGCCGCCTACGCACCTTAACGAGCGGGAAGCCTTTGAGGAAGTGCTGGTAGCTGAGGTGGGTGCAGTCTGTGACGGTCATGACGGCGGAGTGACGGTCGTGCTCGAGGTAGATGAGGTCGCACATCATGAAGATGCGCCGCAGGTGGTTCGTCGCGTTGAAAAGCCCGGAGTCGGCGCTTGGCCGGGCGAACAGGACTCGCTCGCCGTTCTTGGTCAGCCGGCTCGCGTAGCTCTGGTTGTAGGCCACAGCGGCCTTCTCTATGTCCGGCCCCAGGGGATCGCGGTTCTTCAGCACCTGCACACCGAAAACTGTGGTGAGAAAAAATGGCGAATTTTCGCATCTTTGCCATCGAATATTAGATAGATTTCTGAATTGTTGAACCTAGAGTACCTGTATAGCGAGAGTATGGACAGATGTGAAACTCCGAAAATCCATCAGGCCTTCACCGATGCTTCTGCGAATAAAGTTAGGGCCCAGAAATGCAGCCAACCTATGAATCTCAATTATCCAGAACGATTTACTAATACTATTGTTACGAACCGTCGTTTATTAAGCACGTGTTTGACTCAGTTTTTGCACAAAACTCAATTTTGCGGAAGAACGCTCATTTCTGTATATTCCTGGCCATCTTGGTTAGAATTGGAACCTGCAGACTGGCAGTGAAATTTTGTGCGTTAGAAGTTGGTTAGAAGGGTGGCTGCACTTTTGGGCCCTAAGCCCTCCATGAAGCGATCTGTCCATACTCTCGCTATACAGGTACTCTAGATGAACCCCTAGGGGAGCAATATTTCATGAAAAATAAAATCCTGAAATTTCACTGAAAATATTTCATGGAATTTCTGAAATGCATGAAAGAGATTTTAAAACACCGGTTCATTTTCGTGTTTCGCAAAATGTAAAAAGTGGTATTTTCTCCTATTTGTGTGTGTTTAAGTACGGGTTGCGTACTCTAGCCCCTGAAAAATATGAAATATTTCACAGCCTAGCGAAATTCCATTAAATATTTCACTGAAATTTTCGAATTTTCATTTCTTTCTTACGCTCCATGCCACCCTGTGAACGCTAAGTGGATCGCATTTAGCAAAACGGAACTAGCGCGATGAAAGTGTTTTCAAAATCGTGCAGCTTCTTCTTTACTTTTAAAAATACTTAATATATGTACAATATTAAAATTTACACAATTATCTTCATTTAAATTTAACAATTTTTTGGTGGGAAGCAAAAGCTATTTGCTATTTTGGAATATTTTTTTAGATAAATAAGAAAAAGCGAAATTTTTACAACACTGCAATCGTGCTGTTTCCTTTTTGCTAAATACAATCCAAATGCGCGGTAATCAAGGGTTGGTGCGAAAGGTTTAAGGAAATATATGACGATTGCGCATATTTTACTAACTAAGAAAAAAATCAAGTCATATAAATCTCCATGAGTGTTTTATTTTAGAGACTATTCCTCTAACAACATATTCATGCGTTTGCATTATGTAATGGAGACGGCTTTCAATTATCTGAACATACTTTTTGTCACAATCAACTGAGTATCAGCCATATTGCGACATAGGAAAATCTGGACTTTCACCTCCTGTCAACACCTTCTCATATTTTTCCCTCGCATTTTCGATTTTCATTTCAACTTCAGTCTTCTCATTGTTCACTTTTGTCTTTTTCACTCCTATCACCCAGCAATCACCTATAATCACCCATAAATTTAATTACTGAACTTGCAACTGATAGCTCCACTGATTATAGCCAGCCAATAGCGTGTAGACTTGTTGTCTCAACACCTGTGACGTCAGCAAGTCTATAGAAGCTTGCGCTTCCCCAAAATCTAGGTCATTTACCATCTTGACCCGTACATGTACGAGTACGAGTTCAATAGTGTTGTTTCAGTTTGTGATATTTATTTGTGAAAAATGTAATATTAAGTAAATGCTCTCAGCATTTGACTGAAAACATAGCATAAGTGTGTTTTTTTAATTTTAAGGAGGAAAGTAAGGACATGATAAAAACTCATTTCATAAAATCCACTGCACTGCAATGTGCATAGAAAAATTGAGGCACTGGGTGAAAGAATGGCACTTCTTGGTTGCGGTGGTTCAAAATCTCTACTAATATTTCATCAGTGAAGGAAATGCATGGATTTCGTTGACATTTTAGCAGAGTTATTTTTCATGATTCTGCAATTTTCTGTGGAAAAATCCTTGTAATTTTCCATTAGAGACCACTCTACTACTCTTTCACCAACTCCTACTTGACATGGTGCCGAAACCAGCTTCACCGAGTCACGCGTGAAGTATGGACGGACCGGCTCTCTCCCGATCGCGCTATTTTTCTTTTCACCAGACACTGTGCACCTTTTGAGGTTCCTATTGCTGATTAGACGTTACTAAATACTTCTATTTCAGGATAATAATCAGCCGTTACGAAAACCGAGAACCACATCCGTTCTTTCAGATTTTCCATCGACTGCGTCTTCTTCCACTCACAATCAGCGAGCCCCTCCAAGCCCAATAGCGAAACAGACTGAAAAGTCGAGAACTGCCGTCAATGCTCAGATGCTCACCCACAGGCCTTTCTCAAAGGCCGCGGCCGAGCTCCTGGTATGACAATGTTGTCTCAGCTCCTACGTAAACCTGAGCCTATAGTTGGCTGCCGCCTCCCAGGCACGAGCAAAGCTGTGAATCAGTGGCGTGGCGTGCTTTGCGATCTATCGATATTTCCCCATTAGAAGCTGTGGTAAATAATCGAGTATTAAGGTGTTCGCTGCGAACACACTGTCTATCGATACTTTTCCATAGGTTTAAATGGTCGAGCAATCGATATATTGCAAAGCACGCCACGCCACTGCTGTGAATCCTGCGCCCACTCCTAACATCAATGGTGAGTCCCAAAACATGGCGAACTTAAATATTGATCCCCTCAAATTTGGTGGCATCGATGAAGATGGATTCATCAGTATTCCCATCCCGAATAAAGGCCGTGGGCGCAAGTTAAATCCCTCTGCGTAGCTGCATAGCTGCGCGTGTTGATCAATTCCTAATTCAAGTGCTACTTTAAACTAAGTTAAAACATGTGTAAAGGCCAGCGTGGATGAAGGCTATTTCAATTGTAATCTTCCGTCACATTTCTAAGGCGCAATGATACAACTATTTGAACTCTCCGGAATGCGTGAGGTATCACGCCGCATTTGAAGGCGTTTTCAAAACAGCCAAGTTCCGATACCCGGATTATCGTTTTGCATAGTTCAAATCCATTCAATATTCATTTATAATTAACATGCATTCATTTTTACTCTTTCTGTAATTGTTGTCGTATTCATAGATGGCGAAGTGGGGAAACTGAGTATCTCAATGGCAACGTTTAAAAATTTCTGATACCGTTTTGTTTTCCTCAAGGAAAACTAAACAATATGTTTCCCTGCTATTTTGAGTGATTTTTTTTTGAATGACGGTAAAATTCACAAAAAATGTCTGTAGAAATTGTTTGCTAAGTTTCCTTTAAAGAAACAAAACCTAAGTAGAGAGTTACAACGCTGCAATCTGGGGTGAGAACACATTTGTTTACCTTAGCCGTCATGATGAGATTTCCTCATAGAAATTATAAGAATACATGACTAGAATGAAGAGAAGCAGTTGCAGCATTGTAGGCTACGTAGTTAACTCATTGAAAATATGTAAATTTTTCTGATCATTCACCTCCCAAGCAGCAAAATATAAAGAGTAAACAATTTTCCTTTTTACATACTCTTCCTCTGACCTCGTCAAAAAAAATGTATATATTTTCTGAGCTTAATACATTCACTCGAAGTACTCACAAAGTACTTCAAGGATTTTGCAAACTCAATTTTTTTCAAAATTTACTGCACTTAAGCTCCAAGCCTCTCATTTGACAGTTTTTGTTCAAAGGATGATTATTGAGTCCTGTATTTTCTATTTTTTTTTTTTTTTTTTTTTTTTTTTTTTTTTTTTTTTTTTTTTTTTTTTTTTTTTTTTAAATCTTTTACTCTAGAGTTAAAAACTCCCTTAAATTCGGAAAAGAAAAAGTTGGGCTTTCAAATTCCATGCAACTGTTAGAAGTCAAATTATGTGTGCACTGAATCTTTGAATGACACAGCACAGAATACCTTTTTAAGTTCTACACGAATGGTTCGTTTGTTAACACTTTCACAAGCTATTTCTGGAACTTATCTCAGCGCATCGAGAAGTCGAAAATCAATGAACTGCACATCGAAGGCCAAAGTGCAAAACCTCGTATCTCCAATGCAGTGTGCCCCTATTTTATTTTTCTGAAGATGACCAAGCCAAGTTCATAGCTTGAAATGAATACAGAATATTTTGCTAACTGAGAAAAAAATCAAGTCATTTAGATCTCCATGAGTGTCTGATTTTAGAGACTATTCCTCTAACAACATATTCATGCGTTTGTATTATGTAATGGAGACGGCTTTCAATTATCTGTACATACTTTTTGTCACAATCAACTCAGTATCAGCTCGAAGAACTCGAGGCGAGTTCAAATAATCGAGCCACACACGGTGCAGTCGGCGTCAAACTCATTTCAGCGCCTGCAAGGCTGTAGGAATACTTCACGCATTGCGCCAAACAGTATACGGTCGGCCTTCAGCCCATATTATCGCCTACAAGCCCGCCTGAATACTTCCTGCATTGCGCCAAACGTAGTGCAGTCGGTTCGGTGGCGTGAAACGCACATTAGCGCCTACAAGAGTGTAGGAATGATGTAAGACTGTGTGTCATCATTCTTGACTTTCTGCTCCAGTTTTTACCATAATTTAAGGGAAAATATGTATCCTCATTGTAACGATTTATAATTTCGGATGATATTTAATTTTTTTTTTGGGGGGGGGAGGGGGTACATTAAAAGACAATAGAACGAACGGAAATATCGCGTCGAAATTTTTAAATCTCTTATTTCGGATCATCTAAGTAAATTCGCAAAAACTTTTCAGAGAAGCTGTGTGTAGCTATAAAAGTGGTACATCCGTCGGACTTTGATTCCATTCATCTCTTGAAAAACTTGAGCATAGTCGTTCTACGATTTTTACGTGTAGTTTTTTCAGTGGTGGGCGGCCGTGTAGCGGCCATAGGCCCCAAGTTCACTTTTTAAATGTCCGAAAGCTCTCCGGGCCATTCGTGTTGCGAGGGCTATCCGACGAAGAAAGGACAAGTCCGTAAGTGAGGAGGGAATAAACAGTCTTCCTCGATGTAGTTATCTACCACAAACTACCAAGGTTGCCAGATTAATGCCTCCTCGTTGAATATTGAATATTCGCGCAAACGTGTGAGTTTTCAGTGTCGGAAACATTCGCGCAATCTTATGCCTATGCATTTCCAAAAAGGTGAAAAGGGGGGCATTCGCGCAATCCTATCACAGCCTCCAAGTGAGAATGAATCAGTAGCGTGGCGTGCTTTGCGATTTATCGATTGTTATACCATTTAAACCTATGGAAAAGGATCGATAAACAGGGTGTCCGCAGCGAACACCTTAATAATCGATTCTATCCCATAGGTTTAAATGGCATAACAATCGATACATCGCAATTCACGCCACGCCACTGGAATGAATGCAACCCATTCAATGAATCACGATTGACACACTGAGTGATGAAGAAGATGTGTCTCATATATTTTCATACCTTTTCTGAGGCGTTAAGTGTAAGCTAAAGGGTCTGCCGATTGCTCACATCTTACTTAATAAGCCGATATGGACCATTTTTCTGTAGCCCACGACACAAGAACTGGCGAGTGTTCGGCGGAATCAAGTGATCGGCCAGGCCTATTGTTTTAGGTTTTATTATAGCTTTGGTGAGTCTAGATCATTTGAATGAGTCAATGTCTCTGCATTTCAACTCTAAAACAATACCACATGTCAATCACTAACACTCCACCCCTCACCCACCACTTTTTGTGGCGCGGACTCGTAAAAATAAGTCTACGTGTGGAATAATGGCAATGACTGTCAAAAATCCAGAGAAGTGACATTTCACGCATCCTTGGAAACAGAGGTCCATACGAACTATTCCTGGGAGCATTTTCTTGGCAAAGAGAGTCGTTCGCAAAAAGAAGTGTTGAAACAGCAAACTAAGAACATCTACGTCAAAATAGATTCCAAATAAGGTTATATGGTGGATATTTTTTTTAAATTTGTTCGGAAAAATGCTAAAATGAACTTCTGTTGGTACTTGGTTAGGATTGGCTTGACCGGGCGGTGAAACGAACGGCGGGACAAAGCTTATTGTATCAATTGAAATTGAAGGCGTTTTAAGCTGAAACCGTGTCCACCGAATATAGTTTTCTAAGAGCAATATTTTGAAAATGACCCCTTTGGACTTCTTTAAAGCTTCATCGAAAAAACTATGATGCAAATGCTCGATGTTCACCTCCTCGCGAATAAACTAAAACATCAATTTACCACCAATCTTTAATGCACGTTAGCGATAAGAATTAGTGCATTAAAGTCATGATGTTAGTTTAATTGCTCATAACATTAAATTTATCAATCATAATAAACAATTTTTCTCAAATAAGCTTTGTCTCTTTCCTTGTCATTTTATTTTCCCATTTTTAAACCGGTTTCTTATCTGTCCCAAAAGGAGACCCTCCTTCAGTCTAAGTGCTTCAGAGGTGTTGGGTATCGTCATCATTAAGTGCGTCGAGAGCAGTGGCGTGGCGTGAATTGCGATATATCGATTGTTGTGCCATTTAAACCCATGAAAAAAGATCGATTATCAGAGTGCTTGCAGCGAACACCTTAGTAATCGATTCTTTACCATAGCTTCAAATGGCGAGGTATCGATAAACGATTGTTCACGCCACGCCACTGGTCGAGAGTGCTGAAGTTCCGACCCAAAAATTTCGGTGGCTTGAAATAAGAGAGGAACCAGCCACACCCTTCCCGGTAAATTTTTAAAAAATACTAATGAATGTAATTGAAACCTCTGGGTAGCGATTCCTGACAGAAAAATAGCCGTCCAGTTTGAGTTTGGTTTTTTCCAGGCTGAATTTGTTGTGGAACAGGAATGTGGCAAGCCACTCATCGTCTTCGATTTCGGGGAGGTGAGGTTCTTTGGCCAACCAGTCTTTCAGGTGTTCCACGTCGGATTTCAGTCTCTCGGGGGCAGTAAGTGATTCGTTTTCCATCTTAGCTTTGATTGATTGACCGGTTTTCAAGCTAGAACTCTGAAAATAGTGCAAAAATCAACGAATAGGTGGATAAAGGCTGCCGCGTTTTTGAAGAGAAAAGTTAAGAAAAAGTTTTCGGAATCAAGTTTTCTTCAAAATTTAACTATTCTATTTTATATGAACTATATGGTTCTGCTGAAAAAATGAATTGCGAAAATGAGAGTTGTCAGAGAGCAGTAAAATGGCAACAAATGACGTCATATCAGACGAAGTACACCAAGAAGTCCATATGCCGCGAGAGAACAGTATTTCCAGCTACCTTTTGCAAATTGGCACCCTTTCCTCAGTTCTCTAGCATTATTTTTTGTTATGAGTTTGACACGTAACCATGCAAGCATGCAGGACATGACACATTGACGATGAAACTCTCAAACCTCGTATTTCGATTGCGGTGTTAGAATATATTCGCACCCATTTTATCAGTTTACAGATGAGCAAATCAACATCATTCCTTGAAGTTTTCACAGAATTTTCTTCACACAGAGAAGAAAAATAATGACAGTTTTTAAAAAAACTCGTCAAGTAGTTCTCCATGTAAAAAATAAAATAGGACAGAAAGGCTGCGACGTCGCAAATCGATACGTGGTTTGGGAGTTTCAGCAGACATACGTCTGTCAGTTGAACGTATTTATGCTGAAAGAAACTATGCGCATTGCGCAAGTGGAAAGATAGGGTGTGCTCGTGGAAGCTGGATAAGAAACAATGTGGTCAGTGGATATAATTCCTTTTGAGGAAATGGAGAAGCGGGATTTGACATTAAATCAAAAGGAACTGAGCGCTAACTCGTGAGCCGTGGACATATGACAAGAGCATTGTGGACAGGGCTCATGAGTTAAAGCGCCTTGACGACGAGCTCATCGCACCGTTTTGCGTCTCAATCTTCGCCGCTGACGTCACTGGCGCTTTAAAATCCCGATTCATTCATATGGCCCGAGCACTGACGAGCACACCCCATATTCCCACTTGCACATAATTCCATTTAGCAGAAATACGTCCAGTTAATGTGAACGTTTTTAGAAAACCTGGACCTGATGTTAGGAATTAACAGTCTAAGTTATCGTAGAATAGACACCTTACGTGACTTAGCAGTATGAAATGAGAGGCCAAAGTGGGAAACCACGTATCCCCATTGTGGCGTTTGAAAATTTCCGTGCTTTGCTTATTTTTTCGAGGAAAAACAAGCCAACTTATTGGCTTGAAAGTACGGAATATTCTGCTGATAAGGAAGAAAAATCAAGGAAGTTTTCAATAAATTACGTTGACAAGTTTTCCAAAGAAAAAATTAAGTATGGCAGTTAGTCTGCCACGTCACAACGGATAAACGTGATTTTGTGGGAAAAAAGTAATGAACCGAAATAAAATTAAACCTTCATAGCAAAGAACATCTTCTGTTTCATTTTGCCTATTGTGCCAAAATCTTTTTCCTGGTGTTAGGCTAATAACGCAGCTTCTTCTTAAAACTAAGTTTCACTTTTTCTTATTAAGCAATAAATGGACGGAGTTAAACAGAAAGGAACCAAACCACATCGAGATCGAACCGAGAAAAAGAGGTTTAAAGTTTGGCTCCTGCATAAGACTCAATGTAAAAGATAAACTTCAAGTTCAAATTATGCAAAATTTGCCCCAACAAAAACTTTGAATTTTTGGCGATAGATAGTAGAGTATTGGTTGAGTTCAAAACCACTCGTAACTCAATTTTTTCCGCAATGTGGGTTGGTTCCTTTCTGCTTAATTCAGTCCAAATATACTCCGACAAATTAGCTTTTGTTTATATGTATCATCAAAGCCGAGAAAAAATGTTCCTTAAAGTCGACGTAAAGGTTTCGCATATCATATAACAATTATTTTTGTTCGAGACAAATCACTCTGAAAGAAAAACCTCATATAATTGCAGCGTATATCATGACCTATGACATGAAAAATGATTATCGTTTTCCTATTTAAATCACTAATAGAATTAATACTTCGCGGACAAGTTCAAGTTCAGCTGATTATCAGGCACAATGCTCCATTACTCCTCTCATAAACTAAAAGTCTGGCGTAGGGCACTCGCGCGCATCCTCACGTGTTCGATCGTCATGAACACGGAAAAATGAGCATTATTTGTGCTGAAATATTACCGAGTTTAATAACTATTACCCTTTTATAGTCTCTCACATACATTTTTTCATTGAGGATTTTCAACGATGAATCCTATTACAGACTTCTAACTTAAAGAAAAATGGTTGTGAGCTTTTAGACATAAATTAGAAAATCACTAAGACATTAAACGCTCCGACTGAATGCAATCTAGTAAATTTCAACATATGCCTCCTATAAAATGAAAGTTCGAAGTTTAATAAATAGTAGTTAGTGAGAGGTCAATGGGAACTCGATCGCATTATAAATATAATATTAACAAATGAAAAATTTGTACGCGTAAATTTATTGCTGCATTTGAGAGTGCTGAAGGAGCTATGTTGCAGTTTTTTCATGATTTTTTTCCTCTTATAAGAAATTGCAAAAGAGTAAAGGTAAAAGTGAGAATATCTGCCGATTTGAGACATCACCATACATAATTTTCCGTCAAAACACGTGTAATTTGCAAATTATGTCATTTGGTCATTTTTCCTCTAATAATTGTTCAGTTTAGAAATCGAGGATATCCTCATACGCTTGGCTAGCGCAGTAGTATTTTCTTTAACATGAAATTCACAGAATGTCAAATACCTACAACTTATCCATCGTACAGTAATGGGAATTGCGAAATAGAAGTTGGCAAGACAGCACTGCTGTCGCAAAATAGTCTTGGAACAAAGTCTGGCGGCATTCCCAGTTGCATTTCCCTTAGTGCAGTTTCATCAAAACACTCTTCTCCATTAACAAAACTGATTTTTAGCGATTAATGCGAATTGATCACTTACCTATTAATATACACGAATAATCGACAATAGATAAAAGTCCATAACTTGACACCGTCACTCAAACAGATGAAACCTGGTAAAAATCACATTCTACCTGATCAGTATCATGCTGGCTGACATCTTGAGGACTGATAAAGACACTTCCTTGTTTATTTCCCACCGGTGTTACCCACGGTGAGTCTCCTCTAATAGATTTAATAACGGTGCGAATTGAGCGCGGCTCATTACCATGATGCAATTGGGTAGGTAACCAATCATGCCTCTATTGCGCCCTTTTCCCGCTTGTTATGTTGTGGCAGTCGACCGATTGTGGTAAAAAACGATGCGTGCTATTTTGCCAGGCTAAGGAAGAACAACGTATGAGCCCTCAGACGTTGCCAAATTTCCTTCAGTACACAGGAAAAAATTTAATGCTGCTTTAGCATGTATAACATTGAAAAAAAAACCACATTGGATCTTGAGTCCAGACTCTTGAAAACATTGACAAGAAAAAATACTCTTGACTCAATCTGATTTTTGCTTAAATCAAAAAGAAATCCGCTCAAATTAAGAGGCTTGGTTCTTGATTCAAGCAAAAATCCGATTAAATTAAGAGTACTTTTTCTTGTCGATGTTTTTAAGAGTCTGGACTCTAGATCGAATGTGTGTTTTTTTTTCAGTATGTAGAAAAATGTGGGACAAGTATAAATGCTGATTTTACAATAAAAAAAAAAATGCTGCGATAACGACGTCCACGGTTAAATGAACAAATTCAATGTCGAGTTGGCATTTTTTAAATGTAAGATCATCAGTTGATACTTTTCGCAAATTTTTTCAACACTATGAATGCTAAATCAACATTCACTTTTTTCCGTGTATAAAACGACTTTACCGGGAAATATGAGAATATTTTTCTTTAAATTTATCAGAATATTTGTTTCGCGATACGATCTAAAATATTTGAAAATTTCAAGGAAAAATATCCTTAACTTTCCCCAAAAATTCATGTTTTATCCACGGAACTTTGGCAACTCTCGAATGTTCATGAGGCGTTCTTCCTTTAGCACGGCAGTAATATTTGCAGAAATTGGTTTCTATGGGGATTTGGCGACATAGTGCAATCGATTATCAATTATTCGCTGCGAATTGAAGGTGGATTATGCGGATGCATCATCGGATCGCTGAGGATCATTTACGATTTGATGCGGGGTTGACAGATCAGCAATTTAGGCGGAAAATATTCAGGATTCAAATGACAAGCTATGATGTGACGGGACTCCGTAAAAGTATCCATTTTAAATTTAATTAACAATAAATACAAATTCAACGTCCATAAAATAGATAAAAAAAACACTAAAAAAACGTAGCCCGAACGTATGTAACTAACAAGGTGTGCTAGGTCAATATTAGTTTGCGGGAAAAACAAGGCCAAAAAGCTAAAAAAATGCAATTAGAGTCAAATATTTTGAGCTCTAATAAGTACCAGTAAAGACTTAGGGGGCAGAGTGTTCATATTCCATAGTAAACTGCCTAGTTGAGCACTCTCCCCCTCAGTCTTGTACATGCAGTCATTGGAGCTAAAAATTGTTTACTCCAACTGAAAAGTTTGAACTTTTGGGCCTTATTTTCCCCGTAAAATAGTGTAGACTAAGCACTATTGTACTTACTTATAAGATAGAAACTTATCCTTACTGATGAATAATCCTAAAACAAAACGGTTTTTTTTTTCTATTTTTTTTTCTCCCTCTTATGATCAAAAGGGAGACTCTCTCAAACCGGAGGAGACAGAGCGGTCCAAAAAAAATTTATCCGGATTGAAAAACTTAAAATAATTGGTGGTTTTACTAAAATTATACTTAAATCATAAGCCTGTTTTCTTTGGTGCTGGATTAAGTCTTCAAAAGTAAACAAAAGTGTTCTTCAAAGTTGGGCATTGGAAAACGCGCAGTTGGAAATAAATTGTACAATCTGCTCGGATTTTCGGAAAAATGAACATTCTACATAAAAATCAAGGTAAAATTTAAAAACTCGTAAAAAACTACTATATCTCCTCATATCCACACACCTCTATTTTCAGATAATCTGTACCGGGCGTGACCAAACATTGAGATACAAACAAATCAGCCAAAATTAGACTGCGTTTTGCAATAAGGAACTAAAATTTCAGGCTCACGGATGAAAACACCTATCTGTAAAGGGGAGCTAAAAGCACATAAGCTGATTCGGAAACAAGCCGAAAATTGTGATTCCTAATTGCAAAAAGCAGTCCAATTCCTATTTTTTAAACTTCTAAACAAAGAACGGAAGAATAGAACGTCTAGAGACAAATTTTGACTGGCTGTTCCCTAAAAATCTCCTTAGAAAACTATAAACTGTAGACTTTATCATCCGATCGCGCAATATAGCATTTGGTAAGTCAAATTGAATTGTGAATCGAGTTCCGATACTTTGGTTTTAACTTATTAGAGTTTGTAGAAGAGATTTTTGGAAAATAAGTTGAAATGTGCCTATTGATCGGCTATAGTGAAACATTGTTTAAGTAACCAATAGACTTCCATGGCTTTCTTAATCGACCTCTAACTTTCTGAAGGAACCCTTCATTTCTTCCAATTTTTTATCATCCATCCGTCGAAGCGCCTCGTTTGTGCAAACTTCGTCTTGCAGCTCGAACCATTTCTTTTGCTTTCGTATCTCTTTCATCGAGGAATCTGGAAAAAAACAAGGGCTGTGAATTCATGAGTATTTCAATGATATCAGTGGCGAGGCGTGAACGATCGATTATCGATATTTCTTCATTAGAAACTGGGGCAATGAATCGATTATTAAGGCGTTCGTTGCGAACACACTCTCAATCGATCCTTTTCCAAAGGTTTATGACAGATTAATTGATATATCGCAGAGCACGCCACGCCATTCAATGATAAAGTTACTGCGCGGAGCTTTCATATTCGTTTTAGATTTATTTTTAACGGTGGAGCTCGTCGAGGGTCTCCCAAACCAAAACCGAATACAATGTGCACTGGAAAAAAAAAACACATTGGATCTAGAGTCCAGACTCTTGAAAACATTGACAAGAAAAAGGACTCTTGATTCTATCAGATCTAAGCTTAAATCAAAAAGAAATCCGCTCAAATTAAGAGGCTTGGTTCTTGATTTAAGCTTAAATCTGATTGAATCAAGAGTATCTTTTCTTGTCGATGTTTTTAATAGTCTGGACTGGAGATCCAATAGGTTTTTTTCCAGTGTGTATAAGCTGGTTAAAACCAGTTTAAAAAAATGGTTTGAAAAAAAAAGAAATTTGAAGCCATTCACTGGCCCAGTACCCAGTGACACTGGGCACTGCTGTAGCTTATTCGATCACTGACATCATCGGTTGATGATCCCGGTAAATTTAAAGGTCGTTATACATTGGCGACGAAACGTCATTTTAAACAGATGAGGGTTGCAAATGATGGATTGGTTAAAAACTATCAGTGGCGCGTATGAGCAAGTTGGATGCCGATGTGGCAACCATGTGATTCTAGTCTACTCTGTAATTCTAAGTGCTACAAGAAAGAGTGAGGCGTGCGCATGCACCAAACAACCAACAATCAAACACACGTAAGTTAAACGTTGACATTCTTTTGTGTGATTATTGCAGCTATGGAATGCAAATGGAAATCCATTCAGCTGACCACATTTTACCTATTTCCCACAGTGTGATGATGCTACCAAATCTTTCCTTTAAAAATTTGTTTTTCCTCATAGTGAGGTTTTGACAGCCTCTCATCAATGAAATGTCTACACGTCACAAAGTTAAGTAGGCGCATGTCGGTCCAGATCACTGCACTCGTGTAGCTTCAAATCACAATGTTTTCGGGGCAAAGACCTGGTGTTGCAGGAAAATCAGTGCTTGAAAGTGTCATGTTGGATACGTTCAGATGCTTAAAGTTCTAAATTTTTTTTACTAATGTGTATAGGTCCCTAACGGTCGGTTGCACTAATGTGTGTGATAATTAACAATGGTCAAAATACTTAAAGAGAGTGCGGATTACTTTTGTTCGGGATATTGTATGGATGACGTGCTTCACATCTGTAGGTTGCAAATAGTTAACTCGCTCTATGCAAATCATCAGTGCCCATGTGTGATGTGTGCATTATTGTGATGCTACTTCATACAACGATTCGATTTGATTCGATTCAATTCAATTCGATGAGTCGATCGATTAGTATACAAATTAGATTATGCTAAGTTTTTTCTAGACTTGAATGATTACGTTTACCATGAAGTACGGCAGTCTGTATCGAACTTCGGTTACCCAGTGGCGATTCTAGAAAGTTTCTCACACTTTTTCTTCTTCATTTAAATGTCTGTATAATAATTGATTTTTTTTAATGCTTTTAAATGGAGAAAAACGGTGATGCAAACTTTCGAAATCGCCACTAAGGTTACCTGAGCCCAAGACTTCGGTACCCTGACCCGAAAACTTCGGCAGCCTGATCCGAAGAACTTCAGAGATTCACATTGCGACCACCCTTGGTATCAGATCACAAATCTAAAGTTTGGGTGATATTCTTGAAGTTTTTTTTCCGTGTACGGTGGACTGATTGTTGAAATTGATAGACAAAGCTATAGACAAAGAAGACATAGGAATTATAGTATGCGAGGGATCCTATCGGTATCGGTGGAAATGATTGGTTCCATTAGCCTAGGGGATAAAATGATGGACTAACTATAGGTTCTCTCGTGTGTTGTCACTAGTTAGTCTACCTGCCTTCTTTGTCCATTGCAACCACCCGCTTCCACCAATTGGATCCCCGAATATATGCTTTGCCTTCTTCGTATATAACTTTGTCTATCAATTTCAAAAATCATTTCGGCCGGCCATTTTTCTGGGAAGATACCTTCGGCAAATATGATAAATCTTACATTTAGGGGGCTTGGAGGACAAGGCGCATAAGTGCAACGTTTCCTATTTCGAGAAATATACGCGTTTAAAGTTTCAAAATTGCATGGAGCCTTATGGCAGAAATAAAGGTTAAACTAACTTTTCGATGCTTTAAAGTTTGATTTTAGAGGTTTTGTCACAAAATATACTTTCAAACTAGTTTTAGTTGCGTTGATGAATACCTCAATATTTCAAAAACTGCACTCATGCGCCTCATCCTCCGAGCTGCCGTGCTAAGTAAGAACGCCGTATGAACATTCGCGAGTTGCCAAATTTCCTTGGATGAAATGTTTATTTTGGAGGAAAATTGTGAATATTTTTCCTTGAGATTTTCAGACACTTAAAATCAAATTTCAAATACATTTTTTTAAGAAATTGGCAGAAAAATAGTAAAAAATTTCCTGAAAATTAGTGATTTGCCAGAGGAAATTTTGCAACGCCTGAAGGCGCATACGACGTTTTTCCTTAGCGCGGCAGCGAGTCCCTCGTTTTTACCACATAGAAAAAAATAGATGATGCTGATGACACAACCTTCTGTTCACAGGGCTCCTGCAGTTTCTTTGTTACAGTTTTAGAATTTTTCTGTTATGAGAACAGAACTTCGGTCGTGGGAACAGAGTACTCTGTCCTCATAACGGAAGCTTCTGTAACTGTTACAAAAGAAGTGCAGGAGCCCTGTGAACAGAACTATTTCTTTCAGTGCATACCTTGGAGATCAGTCAAACTGGGTCCATCGCCGCCGAAATCCCGGCTGACGACACTCTTGTCCACCATGGCGAGGAGCGTCTTCTCCGGGCAGGAGTGGACGTAGAACCTATCGGAGATCTTCTTCGGGAAGAAAGTCTTGATGGTCTCGATGAACTTCTCGGCCAAGCTCGGGACGTTGAGGAGGTGGACGGCTCGGAGCCGCTCCGAGTAGGCGTCGGTGAAGACCTCGGCGATCTTGCCCAGGACCATCGTCACCTTGAGGATGTGCGAGAGGCCGAACTGCCGGAAATCCGTGATGGAGATCAGACTGGCCAATCGGTCCTCCTCGTTTAAGAGCATCGAGTCCAGGAGCATGAAGATCCGCTTCGCGTACTGCGTCGCGTCCAGCTTGCTCGCGTCGGCCCCGTACCTGATGACGATAATGCATCCCAAATTTTAGAGGAGGGTGTCTATTTGATCGACATGAATCGATCGACAAATAAAAACGTGAATCGATCGATAAATTGGACGTATTTCTATCAAACGGAACTAAGCGCCATCGGAGGGGGAAGGTAGAGGGGGGCTTGAATTGGCGGCGGAATCGGGCGTTGGGCTCGTTCCGTCCTATACTCGCAATGCATTTCCATGGCGTTTAGTTCCGTTTGACAGAACGCGCTATCCGGCATTCTAAATTCCTCAAAAGGTACTCAATTTGGCGCTTAGTTCCGTTTGACAGAAATACGTCCAATTATTAAAAAAAAAGTAGTGTCGACTTGATTGGCACGAATCGATCGGAAAATATGTCGCAGGCAATTAGCAATCGCCGACAAATTACAATCCATTTGTGTTGAATGAAAATGTAAAAATTCAAAAGTGAAGAAACAAAATAGAGAGTTTTGATTATGTGCTTAAATTTCCAACGAACATTCTCTTTTTCATAAATGCTTGGAACCAGCTGGCGCACTCGCAAGTGCTTGTAGTGAAATCAGTAAACTTAGTTGGGTTTGGTTCGGTTACGCAACTAAACTAACTGCCTGGCAAAGCGGAGAGCATCAAGGGGGTTTGAAGGCGCTCCAAAGCCGAGTTCGTGCTTTTGAAGTTCTTTATCCATGAAACCCTTACCATTTCAATGCGAATCATTGCAATTTGACGAGTGAGGACGTATACCGCTTGCTAATGGCTGACTGCCTGTGACAAATATAAACCGATGTAGAACCGATCGACGAACCCGTGAAATCCATCGACAAATCTGTGGATCGATCGACAATTCCGAGAATCAATCGATAAAACCCGTGAGTTGATTGAGAAACCCGTGAATCGATCGACGAAACCTGTGAGACTTCCCCCTTAATCTTCAGACTCGTGAGTTCCCTCCTTCCCGGAAAATTTGTTTGGGATATGTGAGTAGGAGTTCGCTTTGACTTCGAGCAACTATTTTAACTCCCCGAAGATCAGATTGCATACCCAACGAAATGCAGGAACGTTGATATAGCGGTGATCTGGAGTAAAGCTATACGGTGACCACGTACCATACGACAGGGTATGAATAGGGTAGACCATAATTATGAGGGACGAAATGAGATGCAATCTTATCAAAATTGCACGCAAATCAGTTTAATATCTTGCTAAAGCCCATCAGAAGCACTCCATAAATGTTTTAATTGTTTTTGTTCTCTTTTTTTCTAGATTTTTCCTTTAATCACAGCAAAGGGGCTGTTCAAGTATTACGTAAGGCATTTTTGCCAACTTTTTGACCCCCTCCCTCTCCCCTGTAAGGCACCTGTAAGAAATCTCTGACCCCCTTTTGAATTTCGTAAGATTGGCCGGGACTCCCTCCCCCCATTTTTTTATAAAAAACGGAGAAAGTCTGGTAAAATAGCTGGAATAAATTTAAAGTTTTTGTAAAGGTATTTTGATGAAAATAAGGAAGGAGAGAAAAAAATGCGTGCGCTATCGGTGCGTGGCGCCAGTACGGCGGGACGGTGGCAAAATTTTCCGGCATCAGCAAGTCTTATCTTGAGCTGGCAGGTTTCATAGCTCAAAAAAAAAACCTTCTTTTTACAGCGGAACGGTCAATGACCGTATCGAGGAACTGACGGAAGAGGAAGGTTTAAAGATTCAGCTCTTTTTTTTCAAATTGTTAGAGTTTTTTTGCGCAATTTATCATCTTCAATCATATTTGTAATTCAATTATATTTTTAATTTTTATTTTGTTGCCATGTATCCCGCTTTATGTTGGATAACTTTCCTCTATCTCCAGGAGGAGAATACAATGGAATCCTCTATTAAAATTATCTACATAACCCCCCCTCCCTCCCCCTCGTTTTGTGCCCTTCGCGCCATGGTTGTAGTCATCCTTCGGGATAAAAGTACTGAATCAATCATGCAAAAATATAAAAATTACATGCTATTTTGTATCTTAAATTTTCAGTTTTTTGAATGCAAATAGAAACTGTTTATAGATCACGGAAAAAATTAAATTACTGATTTAACAATTCAATTGCTTAAAAAAAGTGACTGCAATGTTTCAGTGTAGATTATACGACAGAAAATGCTACTGTAACCACCCCCGTGGTTAAATTAGCTTACAATAGTGGTTAAAGAAGCATTTTATGTTGCAAAATCTATGTTAAAACGTTGCAGTCACTTTTTTTAGCAATCGAATCGTCAAATCAGAAATGTAATTTTTCCGTGTTATCAGGGTTATTTCCAAGACCAAAAAAGTTGCAGAATTTTAGCAACATTGCAATGCTATTGGTTCCTTTTGCAGAATGCAATCCAATTGTGATAGGACCGCAACTCAATTCGGGGCAGTTCTGCAACAGCTGGATGAGTAACCTAGTTTGTTGGGGCACTACCACGATAATGGACCACTAGACAAGGTACGAGTTAAAAGATTCTGATACATGTTTCTTAGCCAGAATTTTACGTAGAACACGACTCGCGCAACGAAAATTACTGAAACCAACTCCTAACGAAGATATTAACGTTTTTATTTCACATTGGTTACGAGAAATTTGAACTGCCCGCTCACAAGAAACTCAAAGCTCTACGTGAGTCAAATCGCGCACTACAACGGTTTCGGCAATCTTCTCTATCGAGCAATGTTCATTTCCCACCATGTGTCGTTCAAGCTATAAACAATTTGCTATAGCTGAGCCAAAGCGTCAAGATTGAGGTTGCCAGATTTTTAAATCGCAGAGACTGTCATAATAACGTTTAGCGCGCGACGTGAATCACGTAGAGTATTGAGTTTTCATGAGCGGGTGGTTTCAATTTACGCATCAGGAATCATTAAGTATCTTCGTAAGGAGTTGATTTCGGTATTTTTCGTTGTGCTCATCGTGTTTTACGTGAAATTTTGGTTAAGAATCATGTATCAGAATGCTGAAATTCGTACCTTGTCTAGTAGTCCATTTGGAAATGCTTATACCATGCAACAATCTCGTGCTCTTTTTTCCGTGCATCGAATGACGCAGTCACTAAATCAGTCTATTTTCAATTTCCTTACCTAATATACAGTATGCGAGAGTTGTCCTCTGTTTTCTCGCTGGAGAGTGCCATGGGGTCATTCTCGCAGCTGCTTAAAATTTCAGGGGCGTCAGGGTCCCGGTTTTTCAGGATCTCGGGGAATTTCGTGCGGAAGGTGTAGTAGCGCTCCAGCTTGAACTTGGTCTTTTCGAGGCTGAATTTATTGTTGTATAAAAACGTCATCAGCCAGGCGTCGTCGTCGATTTTCGGCAGATGTGGCTCTTTGGACATCCATTCCTTCAGGTTTTGTAGGTCTTCTTGAAGTCTCTCGTTCGAAGGGATTGGAACGTCGACTCCCATCGCCTTGGATTTTCGGTGGACGTGCTCTGGTAATTTGATCTATCCTGCGAGCACAAAAATACAAATCGACTTAGGATCGTATCTATATTCGCTTATTAAGAAGGTCCTCTTAGGAGGCATCATAATTGGGCTTCGTTAAGCAGAAAGGAACCGAGCCACATCAGTTATTGCCAAATTTAATTGAGCAATTTAATTTTCTACATGAAAACAGTTGTGCGTATTTTTGTGCAAATTTCAAGGAGTTTTCTGCATAGCGCGAAGCAAATTCCAAAACATTTTTAAAGGAGTCCGCACAAACGCTTTCTTATAAAAAATTCAATTACCCGATTTCAATATTCAATAGCAATATTTATTTGGCAAAAGCTGATATGGCTTGGTTCCCTTCTGCTGAACGCAGTCCAACTATGGTTTAATAATGCATGTGATTAAGGGAGGTTTAAGGAGAACTTAAGGTTGTTTCATCTCCCATTAGATTTGGCCTTCCATTAAATGTGAACCGCTTTTTCAGGGGTGACACTGTAGCTTGCGAGACTTTCAAATATGGCGAATTTTTTGTTTGAACCTCTCCTGGACAGAGAGGGCGGGGGGTCCAAGATAGAATTTTCGACTACTTTTGAATGAAGAATCAGATTAAATTGAATTTTTTTAAAAATGAAAGATCCAAAAACAAACCATCTGAAAATCTCCTTGAAAGTTGTAAAAAATTATTTTTAGTGCGAATTTTTTAAAAATTATTCGATTTCTCAGGGTGAAAAAATAATAGGGAGCGAAATCTAATGGGAGAAGGAACAACTTCTTTGAGGAATCTCAAATAAAATGCAACGATATAACATTGGAAATAGACCCTTTTAAGGGATCACGATGATTTGTCACTGAAAAAGTAAAAATATCAAACGCAAACATTCTATGATTTTGACGATCTTCAAGGTAAGTACGGACGTATACCATAAATTTTTCAATACCCGCGAAATTCTTTCCTGTGTATATTTTCAATTGTTTGTGGTAGTAAATCCTTGTAATCCTTTATACTTTTGAACTGTACTAGAGATTGGTTAAGGTTGTCTCTTTAATGAAGGTATGTTGAAGGCATCCTTAAACGATAGGCTCTCTTGCTTGACAGCTTCAGCCCTTTCGTATACTCCGTGCTGTTTAAACAGCGATCATTGAGGCCTTTAATATAGCTTCATAAAAAGGACGATTTTTAGGACCCTCCCAATGGGATAGATTGACATCATTATCGAATTACCTAGATTTTTTCGAGGGATTTGAATGATTTTCCACCACAAACAAATGTAAAATAAAAAAAGAGAAAAAGTGAAAATATAGCGAATTTCAAAAATTTTGAAGAAAGTCCGTACCTACCTCAAGGTTTGTCTGAATCATAAGTTTTTAATTGAATGTTTTATATTTTTTCTAATGTCAAATTTATATAATCCCGAGTAGGAAGCTAGAGTTATGTTGTTACATTCAACTCGCGGCTCGTAAAAATGGTCCTTGTAATTAGATATATATGATTCATAAAAAACTTAAATATATCGATAAGATTAATATTATTATGAAAAATATGTTTATAATAATCATATTGTGATGATGTTATTTTAAAATCCTCCTTAATCTTAATGTAAATTATATGGCGCCTCCCTTATTTGGGAAGGAGCTGTTCAAGGTGCGAAAATTAATACGGTCTAGCGAGCAGAGGTTGTGAGTCGTCCTCTTCTTCCTTTCGGTTAAGGAACAAGCCCTGTTTGGACCGCTTTACGCAGAAAAGAACCAAGCCACTTCAGCTATTGCCAAATTAATCGGGCAGTTTAATTTTTTAAAGAGGAACTTTCGCACGGATTCCTTTAAAAGTTTTAAACAACTTGCTTCCTACTATACAGAAAATTCACTGAAATTGTCGCAAAAATCCGCACAACCGTTTTAATGTATAAAATTAAACTGCCCAGTTGAATTTGACAATAGCTGATGGGGCTTGGTTCCTCTCTGCTGAACACGGTCCATTTTTCCAACCATTGTCGTATCAGGACGTATAGAAGAAATATAATTAGTCAAAATTGATAAAATAAATAAAAATTGACAGCGATTTGTGATTATCTATCGGAGATAGTAGTCAAAAACTAAAGCATCGAAAGCATTCATTCATTCTCTGGGGCTGAGAGTCAAGTATTGAGTGGACAATGTAAACACCACAAAAATATAAAATCGAAAAACATGATCATTTCGTTCAATCTACTCACCGTCAGAGACTCGAGAAAAACACCAGCCCCACAAAATCAATCGAAATTGTATCAAATCACCCGGATCACAAACTGATTGCCGGCGCTAGTCTCGGTAATTAATTGCACTCGCGACTGAATTGGCGGTAATCAATTGAGTAGAAACTTATTCACGTGCTTAGACATACAGAGCATAGTAGACAATAATTGTCCTTCGCGGCCTTCGGCCTGGCCCAACGCGGCGGCGCGGGACTGATTGTGAGCGGTCATACGGGAAAACTTGTCGCTTCGCTCATATGTGCATATCTCAATCTTCACGCGAGCCCCCGGATACACGGTTTTATACAGATTACAGGGCTCATCTTAAAGTTCAGTTCCGTGCTTATGCCCGCTGATCGATGAACTTTGGCGGTGTTGCCCGATTTTCGATATAAAGTAGCCGTTTGAATGAGTCGATGTCAAAACATGATATGTCGACGGATTTGGAGGATAATCAGATTAGAGGATTTTTATCGTTGAGGTGAGGGTTGCGCAAAATATTTGGACATTTGATTTTTTTTTAAACAAAATTACTGTGTTCTTTCCATTCGGAAACCTAGCACCCCCTTAAGAATACGTGAAGCTCTCCTTAACCCCCTCTATCGCCCTAGAAAGGAAAAATCAATTATATACATCAGCTTTTTCTTCATTTAATCCCTTAATTTGTAGGGATAATAAATTGAGACGATACTAAAATAATAAAATTAAGGGAAAATGAGTGGTTTGACTTTTTTTTTTGAAAATCTGTATATTAGAAAAGGAAAAGAGACCAATTATGTCAGAGAAAAAAATTTAAAAAATACAGCGTTGAGCGCCCTTGAGAAAAGTTTTTCTCTCAATGGTTCTCGGACGAGAATTCTCGTTGAACCATCCAAAGTGACAGGACATCTGTTTGAAGTAAAAGAATAACTGTTTGAAAGACACCGAAAAAAAGGTGCCGTAGTAACATCACAGATGTTAAAAAAATGTGCGACAACTCTTGGATGTTGTCATTAACACTCTGGTGTTAAACTAACATCCTAGGATTGTACTTTTACATCCTAGAATGTTACCTTTACATCGTAGGATGTTACTCTTTAACACCAGAGTGTTAGCAAAAACAACCTAGAGTTCTCGCACATTTTTTTAACACTTTTTTTTTCGGTGTAGGGAAATTTTCTGCTCACGAGACTTCTCGTGCGGGAATGATTAAATGGAATGTCTATTAATCCAACAGAAAATTCATCTCTTTACGTTACGTATCCTCCCCTTACCCCTCGTAACGCATTTTTCTCGCTGGCTCAGGCACCGCTCTCCTCCATAGGGAGGTTGAGGAGAACGTTACGCCACTTTGTTTTCACGCGTCAGATTATAAGAACCTACGGAGCAAAGCATTACAAGAGAAAGGGGGGGGGTCGAAAAATCTGAAATGTATTGGTTCATGCTTCATGTAAGACAAACCATAAAGACGTTGCACGTATTTTCTGAATGGCCCCATACACCATGTGGATGTATTTCTGCCAAACGGAACTGAGGACGAGTGGAAAAGATGGGGTGTGCTCTAGAAAGCTGCATAAGAAACAATGTAAAAGTTGGCGTGACTTCCTTCGGGGAATTGGAAAAGCAGGATTTTACATTCTGTTAAGCGGAACTATCTGCCAATTGAGTGGGGCACTCATGAGCCATGGGCATAACACAAGATCGTTGTGGACAGGGCTCATGAGTTAAAGACTCCCAACGTCGATCTCCATACCGAATATTTCACCGCTGATGTCACTAGCGCTTTTTAATTCCTATTAATTCTTACGGCCCTCGACTAATGAGCACTCCCCTTCTCTCCCACCTGTCTCTGCTTCAGAGTGGCAAAATTTCATGGAAAATAAAATCTTGAAAGTTCACGTGAAGTATTTCATCAAATTTCAGAAACTTATGAAAGATATTGAAAAATACCGGTTCCTTTTCATGTTTCGCAAAATGTAAAAATTGTGAGTCTTCTATTTTTGTGTTTTTGAGTGCGAGTCGCATACTCTAGCCTCTGAAAACACTGGAAAAAAAACACATTGGATCTAGAGTCCAGACTCTTGAAAACATTGACAAGAAAAAATACTCTTAATTCAATCAGATTTAAGCTTCAATCAAAAGGAAATCCGCTCAAATTAAGAGGCTTGGTTCTTGATTTAAGCTTAAATCTGATCGAATCAAGAGTATTTTTTCTTGTCGATATTTTTAAGAGTCTGGACTCTAGATCCACTGTGTTTTTTTTCCAGTGAAATATGAAATATTTCACGGTGAATTTGTATGAAATAATTCATCGAAATTTTCAATCTTTCCTTTCTTTCTTATTTACGTTTCATGCCACCCTGCTCCGGTTCCATTTGGCAGAAATACATCCATGCCGTATGGACAAAAGTGCGTAAATTCGCACAAAACGGCAACGCTGGACGGCGGAGATGAGTCGAGTCGTTGTTTCACCTTTGAGTGGCAATTTTTACACCGTCAGCGGATAAAGATTGGATTATGCTCGTGCTGGTGCTCGCACGCAATGTTTATGTCGCGCGTCGCCAGCACGTGACTCACGTGAGCAGGAAACTTTGTTATCATCCTCTGCGGTCAGCTCCTTCCCTCGTTTTCCTCACTCCTTAGCATTATCCGCTCCTCCTATTTAATTTTATTCAAATTAAGGGATTTCCATGCACCTGGGAATATTTCGGGAGGGAGGAGGAGGAGTAAACCACGAAGGACAGGGAGGGGGGGGGTTACCAACACTTAAATCGTATGGTTCAAAAATTGCCAGTCTTGGAGGTCGGGAAAAAATCCAGAAAATGAAAAGGACTGAATATAGTAGAAATATATTTTGGCGTACGTGTTCACGGAAAAAAAATTGCTGATTCAACAATTCAATTGCTAAAAACTGTGAGTGATATGTTTCAACGCAGATTTTACAACAAAAAAATGCTACTTTAACCACCCCCGTGGTTACATTAGCTTACAATGTGGTTAAAGTAGCATTTTTTTGTTGTAAAATCTGCGTTGGAACATTGCACTCACTGTTTTTAGCTATTGAATGTTGAATCAGCAATTTTTTTCCGTGTTATTCTGACTCCAAAGATCCCTCTCATCAATTTGATTTCATTCGAATTAAGGGATTTCCAAAGGGAATCATTCAGATGGCCAAAGTGCGAACTCACGTATCCTTATTGCAGAGTTTCAAAATTTCCGCTCTTTTTTTTTTTCGAAGGATAGCAACCGACATCATGGCTTGATGTTTATACAGAATATTCTGCTAACAGAGAAAAAAAAAAATCAAGGAAATTTTCAAGAAATTACGTTGACTGGTTATTCGAAGAAAACAAAAGGATGACAGGAAGTCTGCAACAAAAGTCTGAGAGAAGGCGCGCAGAGGGCGCCCAATGAGAGGTTGGAGAAAAGGGATTTATGCCGCAATCACACGCTGAATGTGGGAGCTGAATGTGGCTTGAATGTAGAAGTCATCGGCCCGATGCCTGAATTTTGCGCGTGACACGCAAAATTCAGCAACGATTCTCAGCGACCATCGGATAATGTCGGATTGGTCTGAAATATTCGAATAGATTTAATACACATATGGATGAAAATAACTCGAATGGACCACTAGATAGACAAGGTACGAATTTCAGCATCCTCATTCATGTTTCTTCACCAAAATTTCACGTGAAGCACGACGCGCACAACGAAAATTGCTGAAACCAACTCCTAACGGAGATATTAACGTTTTTATTTCACATAGGCTACGAGGAATTTGAACTGCCCGCTCACAAGAAACTCAAAGCTCTACGTGAGTCAAATCGTGCACTGCAACGGTTTCAGCAAGCTTCTCAATCGAGCAATGTTCATTTTCCACCATGAGTTGTTCAAACTTTAAGCAATTTGCTACAGCTGAGCCAAAGCGTCAAGATTGAGGTTGCCAGATTTTTATATCGCAGAGACTGTCATGATAACGTTTTAGCGCGCGATGTGAGTCACGTAGAGCATTGAGTTTTAAGGGCGAGAGGTTTGAATTCACGCATCAAGAATCATTAAATATCTTCGTAAGAAGTTGATTTCGGTAATTTTCGTTGTGCGCATCGTGTCTTACGTGAAATTTTGGTAAAGAAACATGTATCACAAGGCTTAAATTCGAACTTTGTCTAGTGGTCCATTAGTGAAATTTCAGCTGTTGAGCGCAGACTGTTTACAACAGCTGTTGACTGTTGACTGCCACATTTAGCTGCCAAATTCAGCGTGTGATTGCGGCATGAAGCAGAAACGTTAAGGTGCTCAATGCCCGAGGGTTGTGGTTCGATATGGGGCAGTGGGGGTTAGGTGTCGTGAGGCGCCAGGTAGTGCTATAAAACGACTTATGTGTGTGTATGACGGGAAGTCTGCAACGTCACAAATAGATATACGGAGTTTCGTACTTCGGCCATCGATATCTATTGTGGCAAGAGCCCTGCTGGCATACATGCAAACTTACGAATCTCAGAGCTCATGTCAAAATCAAAATAGTTCTTTTTGATTTAAATGCGTCCGATTAAAAGCTCTTATTTCAAGTCTTGTTTTGCATGGCCTCATCGCATAGGGACGTATTCATGCTCAGCTCAATGGAACTATGTGCACAGAGTAAGCAGACGATATAGTTTTTCCTTTTAGCATGATACGTCCGCATGATCTTTTGGACCGCATTTTGCAATTTGGAACTATAAATTCTGGCTCTTCTGGTAAAACACTTATGTGCATAGGGAAACTAATAGAACATACGTTGTTTTTAAACCAGCCTAGAATTTATAGTTCCAAATTGCAAAATTTAGTCCTTTTGCTCCGAAGTTTTCATGGATTTTTCATATCAGTGTAACACGGATGCGATGCTAAGTATCCAAATTCTAAAATTAAACAAAAAGTGAATTTGACACCTCCAAGAATGAATGTTTTTTCACTCTCTTCGTTGCGGTGAATCTCTAACCGTAGCTCACAGATTTAGTGTCAAGATACTGATGAGGATGTCCCGTGTGAACACCAAGCAAACGATGAAGGTAATAAAAAGCGCGTTAAAAGTTAACGTGCCTTTTTATTCGTTCTCCGAGGGTGCTGCTCATAACCCCGTAAATCCCAACTTCCCGTAACGCGGCGCAACATGTGGAAGATGTCTTAATTTTTAACCGTAGAAATTAATCGAATCAGCGTTCATTGATAAGGTTACGT